GACTGTGTAGACATGCCTTCGTAAATAACATGGCTGTGCTATGATATTGAATTACAACAATATTGAATTGGGTCATTTAGATGCTACTATTATAAATATATATATACGGCTACGCAATAAACTGTATAGAGGTAGTAGAGTATATAGATTTGATCATAGTTTTAGTAGGCAGTAGTACTAAATATACAGGAAATATGCATTGACATACTGTGAAGTGTAAATTGAGTTTGATTATAGTTTTAGATTGGACTGCATATGCGAGTAGCCGCTTAAAATATACCGGCTAAGTATTGATGCCTGGCTAGTGGAATTACTGCGTAGCCACTGTAGCCACAATGATATCTACCTAGCAATTATATGCAGTAATTTGCACAATGATATCTACCTAGCAATAATACGCAGTAATTTGATCCGGCATAGTTTTAGATTCGACTGCGTAGCCAGTAGCCACTAAAAATAAGGCTACGCAGTGATTTCCAGCTAGTGGACGGGTATTCTGCAATCTAGCCGCAAGGCATTTGATACAGTCAATCATACAATTCTAATCAAGAAATTAGAATATTATGGTGTAAGAGGTATTCCTAATAATTGGTTCAAATCATACCTTAGTAATCGGCAGCAAACTGTTACAGTTAATAATATTACGTCAAATCCTGCAACTATGTCATGTGGTGTCCCTCAAGGATCAGTTCTTGGTCCGTTTTTATTTTATATTTAAATGATTTCTATATTTGCTCTAATCTAATCGAATTTCATTTATTCGTTGATGATGCAAATTTATTTTATAAACATAGAAATTTAAAGATATTACAAACTAATATAAATACAGAATTGTCCAATATACATAATTGGTTATGTGCAAATAAACTTTTACTCAATATAGATAAATCTAATTATGTTATTTTTCATCCCCCTCAAAAAAAATTAAATACAGATTTACAATTAATTATACACGATAAACTCTTGAAACGAGAAAATTGTATAAAATATCTTGGTATATTTATTGATTCTAATTTGAATTGGAAATCCCAAATTGATTATATTGCAAAAAAAATAAAAAGAAATATAGGAATTTTATCTAAACTTAGATATTATGTTGATACAAAGATACCTACCAACCTTTACTATGCTTTAATTTATCCATTTTTAATATATGGTCAGATCATTTGGGGTTGTACTTATCAGACAAACCTTCAACCACTTGTTATATTGCAGAAAAAAGTGATACGAATTATAACGTTTTCAAATTTTGCTGAGCATTCAAATCCTTTATTTCAAAAATTGGAAATCATTAAGTTTAATGACCTTATCACATTTCATATTGTTTTATTTATGATGAGAATCCATAATAAATTCCTTCCTCCTATCTTTAATACATTTATTACTGCAGTCAGTCAAGTACATAGCTACGAAACTCAATCTTCTGTAAAACAATCTTATTATCTTCCAAAAGTAAGAACAAATTATGGTCTCTTTAATATTCGATTTAAAGGGCCAAAAGTATGAAATTCAATTCAGGATAATATAAAAAAGTTAGTTTCCATAAATTAATTTAAAAAGAATCTACAAATGGAGCTCTTATGTAAATATCAAGCTCCTTTTTCTATCTAAAATTATGAATTCTTTAAAAAAAAAAAGAAAAACTTGGTGTGTTAATAATTTATGTATCTTTGTCAGTTTTTGTGTGAATTTATTTTGTAAAAGTACATGATATGTGACGTATATGGTTCCAAATCTATTGTGGCCTCCTGGTATTTTTACCTTAATAGTTATTTCAGGAGGCCTTATATGACCATATATTATGTTATAATTATTATGATGATGTAACAATTCTGTTCAAACATTATGGGTAAATAAATATCTTGTATCTTGTATCTTGTAGTTAAAATCATAGTACTATCAACAATTGTTCCCAAACTCTTTGCTTCAGGAGAAATATCAATATTTCCAACAGACAGCATATTAATATGAACCTTCTCTAGCTGTTGTCTGGATCCTATTATTAGGAATTCCGTTTTGCCATCGTTCAACTTCATCTTATCCTCAATCATCTAGGCTCGGATTGCCTTTATACATGTCTCCATAGCAGATACACAACCAGTCTCACTTTCTTTACTGTCTGGCTTAAATGACAAATACAGTTCACTGTCGTCTGCAGACGCATGCGCAGATGGCAAATACTCCCTGATAACCTGAAATAATTTGCTAGCATACATGGTAAAAAGTAACGGTCCTAAACAAGAACCTTGAGGAACACCGCATGGAAGATGAAATCTATCTGAAAGACCATCACCAAATACTACCCTTTGCGTTCGGTTGAACAAATACGACGAAAACCACTCAAGGGCTTTTCCTTCAATTCCAAATGATGTTTCTAATCGATGAAGAAGGATAGTATGATCGATTGTGTCAAATGCCGCACTAAGGTCTAACAATACAAGTAGTGTCACATGTTGGCGGTCCATGCTAAGTAGCATATCATTGTGTATCTTTAAGAGTGCTGTCTCTGTACTGTGCCTTTTTCATAGGCGGACTATAATTCTGGAAATAAACCATTCAAGACCAAGTGATCATATATCTGCTCATATACAGCTCGCTCCATTAGTTTCAAGATAAACTGTAAATTACTAATCGGGCGTAAGTTATTGAATACAGCACCAAGTCCTGCTCTCTTAAGAAATGGATTCCACAATTCCTCTTTCCAATTTTCAGGGCAGTAACCATTAACCAAAGAAGAATTGATAAGATACGTAACTACCGGTAATAACGTATCCAGGCAATCCATCACCAATGGCTTGGCATTGGATCAAGAGAACAGTATTTCTTAGATGATTTCATAACTCATGTTTTCACTTCTTCCTGACTAAGCTCCCGAAAGCAAGTCAAGGCATTACCTCCCTGTGATGTAAACTTTAAATCATCAGCTACTGTATTATTTAACTGTGGTTTAAGAAGCATGGCGTCAATTTCAGCTCTGATTCTCACAACCTTACTGACAAAAAATGAACCAATATCATTTGAAAGCAAAGTGCTGTCTGATGAATTGGGAAAACAAATCTCACCATTCGCATTGAAGAGACTTTTCACTGCACGAAAGAGTTTGGATTTACTGTCACCGTTTTGGTTAATAAAATCAGTATAATATTCTCTTCGTGCTTTATTTATTAGGTGTGTCACATAATTTTTTTTGGTCTTAAACAGGTTAAAGTCAGTCAACGACTTACTTTTTCACCATTTCCTCTCTGCCTTCCGACATTGTCTCTTTGCAAGGTCAATTTCGGCGCTGTACCAAGGAGCAGATGTTCTTGCTTTGATTATCTTAGTTTTCAATGGGGCATGATCTTCAGTCAGTCGAGTCAGAATAGAATTATACTCATTCACAAGAGCATCAATTTCTTCAGGCATCTTATTGTCTGAACCGCCATATATAAAGTTGTACACAAACCAGAGGCCACTAAGTCCCGTTTCAGGGCATTACGATTAACAGTTTTTATTTTCCGATACCTAACTTTACGTTTTCTTGGGATAGGTTTAGCTGTGGCTAGACTACAGACAACAGATGCATGATCTGAGATATACCGATCCACCTTCGGTTGACCAATAATAATATAGTCAGAAACACGCGTTATAATTAAATCCAAGACATGGCCCTGATGTGTGGCTTCTTGGACATGCTATTTCAAACCAACTGACTCAAGTAAATCACAGAATTTCATTGCTTAAAGATCTTCAATGGAGTCAACATGAATGTTAAAATCCCCAGAGATCATTAAGGCCTCCTTACATAATAACAGCGATTCAAGATGATCAAAGAATTCCTTAAAAAATACACTCATGGCGGCACTTGGTGGGCGGTACACAATTACCATACAAATTTTCTATGCAGACGAATAATTGACAGTCCACATAATTATATACATATAATTATATACAGTATATATAAATCTCTTTAACTCGTACTCATTGTTTACAACTAATGCTACATTTAACCACGCGGTTGAAACTCGTGCTCGTCGTCGGATCATCCTCAAAAACACAATGATGGAGGCAAAGTTGTAATAAGACATGCAAAACTTCACTTTCCAAAGGTAGGGTTGCCAGGATTGGCCGTAACCTTTGGAAATGTCCTGACAATGTAAGGATTCACTCGTTTTGTCAATTCACCTCTGACTTTTGTGAACTGAGATGCAAACTGCATCAAATTTAACTGAGAATTTAACTTAAGTCTTATAAGTGTTCCGCAGCTCACCTTGGACACAATTTGTGCAATCTATATGCATGGTGAGTGTAATTTAAACATACCATTAATACTTGATGATTTAAACTTACCTAATTAGCTTTCTCTCCGCATCTTGACCCTTTCTGACAATATTCTGGCAAGAGAATTCAAAATCGTCAGGGGACATTTAATTTTCTTTCTTTTTCTCAATCACTGTTTACATGCACGTTTACGTAATAACCGAATATCTGGATCATTATTTAATTTAGCACATCCATGAGCATGTATACTTCTTCTGGCCTGATATTCAAACCTATACCAAAACCATTCAGCATCCAAGACTCCTTGAAGCCAATGTTTGATAAACTCCTGTAGCCTTTGCATGAAGAACAAATCTGTCAGGTGTGGATTGTCTATCACTGCTTGTGCTCTTTCTGTTCTTGATGCACTCTCATTACTTTGCAACAGTCTTTGCAAGTCTGGCCAATGGCTATCAGCTGCACTAAAAGTAAAAACATATGGCTAGCCGATGGTGGATTGAATTGCCACTCTATTCCTTCTTAGCAAAGTTTGATACGGATGTCATCTTGATCCATTTCTTCTAAGGCTCGTTTAAGTTCCCTATTTGCACCGACGAAATTTGAACTATTATCACTTCTTAAACGTAGTACAGAGAATTAACAATTTCGATGTGCACGGCTCTACTCACTAAGCAGGTAAAAATTGCTCCATATTTCTTCAGCTCTTTGCGTCTTTCTTTACAATGAAAGGACCGAAGTAGTCAACCCCTGTATGAGTAAATGGAGGTGCTGGAGTAATACGGTCTTCTGGTAAACCAGCCATTTTCTGGTTGTTGACCTTTCCATGATGAACACGCACTTGGAGAGGACTCCAAGAAAAGGCAGAACACGCACTTGGAGAGGACTCGCCGTACTGCGGCGTTAATTTTTATCAGCCAATACTTTTCTCGAATGGCTGAGATAACATGATTACGTCCAACATGACCCAACTGGCGGTATAAATGACGTATGATAAGGGTTGTAACATGGTTCTTGTGAGGTAAGATAATTGGATGGGCAGTTTCTGGCGATAGTTCTGCACGGTTAAGCCAGCCTCCGACTCTTAGGATTCCGTCTTTAAGGTATGGGTCGAGACAATAGATCGACCTGATTTTCTTGATATTCCTTTTCTTGCTTTTCTGAAACTGAAGACACATCATCTCTTTGTGAAACGTAGTTGACTGGATGAACTTTATGATAACAATTTCAGCTTGAGCTAGTTCTTTAACAGAAAGGGGTATGGAGTAACTATTCACGCTGAAGTTTTCATCATTTCCACTTGAAAGAGCTTGTATTTTATCTTGTAGAATCTTCTTTATACGGAGAAATACAGCTACAGCTTTCTTCAATCGGTACCAAGAAGAGAGAGAATTAACTTGTTCGTAGGGTTATGTAGGTCATTAATTGTAGTTACATTACTTTCAACTTGCTGTTTAATTTCAGGATCATCTTCATTAATTTGACCCATATCGACTGGCTGTTGTGGGCACTCATGTTCTGGTTTCCAAAGGAACTCTGGACCTTCGAACCATTGTCGCTGTTGAGATAGTCGTTCACCATTTGTTCCTCGTGAAGTATCATCGGCAGGATTGTCATCTGTTGAAACGTATCTCCATTGACTTGGATCTGAATAGTTACGAATTAATTGGATACGGTTTGCCACAAATACGTGAAACCTTTGTTGCTCATTCATGATATAACAAAGAACGTTTGTGGAATCGGTATGGTATTTCATGTCAAAGATATCGTCCAACTCATTCTTTAACAGCTCTCCGATACGAACGGCTATTGCCGTGGCGGTGAGTTCCAAACGTGGTATCGTAACTATCTTTATGGGAGCTAGACAAGCTTTACCCAGTAGGAATGAACAATAGATACGATCATTCTCATCACATAAACGAAGGTATGCTACCGCTCCATAGCCTGTTGAACTGGCATCGGACAAGATATGAATTTGTCGAGAAACTACTTTCCCAAAATCTGTGGGTTTGAAGCATCGAGCACTTGCAACTTCTGAAGTGAAAGGAGCTCTTTTAGCCATTTTCCCCACCGAATCTTGTGCCCTTCAGAAACTTCGTCATCCCAGCCAAGGTCTTCACGGCAAAGGTCTTGAAGTATCTTTTTTGCGGGGAGTAAAAACGGGGCTGCGAAACCAAGAGGATCATAAACGGAGGAGACAGTTGATAATATTCCTCTTCTAGTAAGCAGTTTGTTGCTAAGAACAATGCGGAATTCGAAAACATCTAATTCGACACACCACTGCATTCCAAGAGCACGTTCAATAGGTAGTTTGTCATGGTCTAGGTCTAATGTTCTGGTTTCCTTTGAACGTTCTTCTGCTGGGATTGTCTCAAGAACCGCACAACTGTTACTGACAAATTTGGTCAAATGAAATCCTCCTTTTGCGCACACTATCTTTAGGTCTTGCATTAAGCTCGTGGTACTTTCTACAGTTTTGTCTGAACGCAAACAGTCATCGACATAAAAATTTTCGCCGAAAAATTCCCCCTTCTGGCCACCAAAGAAACCTCAAATAGTTCAACTGTTCTTTTGGCACCCGAACTTGATGGAACATGGCTCCACGTCCGCCATAAAGGCTATGGGTTCTTTTCTGAAGCGGGTAAGAACACCAACGAGAGAATTTGTAAGATTGGGACCTTGTAGTAATGATTTGTTTAATGATGTTCCAGCATAGTCAGCGCTACAGTCGAAGACGATGCATATCTTTTCAGATTTTTTAGGATGATGGACGCCGTGATGTGGTACGTACCAAACTTTACCAGACGCTGGACAAACTTCACTTTCGGGCATGTTACAAGCATAACCGTGGCAAATGATTTCGTTCATAAATTCACAGTAATCACGGTGGTATTTGGTATCACATTGCATTTTCTTTTTCTGCCACAATGCTTGCTTCAATGCCTGACTTCTGTTGTTTGGTAATATGACCTCTGGATTTCTAAAAGGAAGGGGGGTTTCATAATGACCATTGATTAGACGAATGCCATCATCCATCTTAGTTAGAAATTGCTTGTCTTCTTGAGAAAGGCTACGTTCGTCGGGACCCACTTTGCAGTCGTTAATGTCCATTTCAAACATACTACGAATTGCCTGGGGTGAAGGAACTTCTTTAACTGTATCATTTGCTTCACGAACAACAATTCGATGACACGAGATGTCAGTTTGTGCTGCTGGGCAATTACTACCGATTAATAAACCGATTTCAAGGCCTGGTTGAAACTCTGGAATCAACTATGAATTTCGTGAAGGTGTTGCCACTGTTTTATCATTCCAGGAGTAGCTTCTTCCTTGTTCTGATGATCTTGATTCTCTAACTTGAAATCCTCAATATGAAGTGCAGATGGATGTGGCTTATTACATTTCTTACATTTCCTTTTTCGTTAACAGCCCTTTGATATATGGTTCTTCTCGTAACACGCGAAACACATCTTGTTCTGCTTAAGGTATTCTTTTCTTTGTTCAACGGTTTTCTTCAGGAAAGTTTGACAATCGTCCAAGTCGTGAGAAGAGTTGCATAACGGACAGACAATGTTCTGTTTTGCTGACCCGGCCCCGTTTACTAACGTAGGGTTCGTTACGAAACTAAAGTTCTTGTTCTTTGACTGACTACCATCTCTCTTTCAAATCTTTTGGAATTTTCTTTGCCTTTACTGAGAGCATCTTTCCCAAATACTGGATCATTTGCAGCATCTGCAGCAGATTGAATAAAATCAGTCAAGTTCTCAAAGTTTGCTATCTTTGCGTTGTCTCTTCTGATCTTGGCTACAAGATCTTTCCACTTTGCTTGCAGATGGAACGGCAACTTTGATACCACTGCTTGCATGTTCGGTGCATGATCAAGTACACACAAATGATCTTACATTTGATCAGAAAAAGAGGAAATGATTTCAGGACCTTTCCTTCATCCGATTTTATAGCTGGCCAACTTAAGATTTTCTGGATATATGCCATGGATATCTTATATGGATCCCCATACTCCTTCTTCAGCAACCGTCTTGCTTCTGTGTAACCTTCATCAGGGTCCATGTGTAAACAGCCTTCGATCAGATCTTTCGGTTCTCTTGTTAAATATTGATTTAAATAATAGAGTAGGTCAGCTTTGTTATGAACTTGATGTTGTATTCGAACGTCAAAAGACGTGACAAAGGTTCTGTATTCTAAAGGATCGCCTCTAAATATGCCTATAGATGACTGCGGTAAAGTCATTGAAGCGGTGAGCTGTTGATGGGTTGATATCAAAGTTTCTGTCTGCCTTTGCTGTAGCAGCATCATACCTTCAAGCACGCTCTTTGTCTCATTATTTACATTGTTACCCTTTGACAGTGATGTAGGTTTTACAGACGTAGAATATTCCTTTCCAAACAGTCGAGCATTTAGTGGAGATCGTACTTCCTGACTTGGTGTTGGATGATGATCATGACGCTGTATGACCATGCATTACACTTCGTCTTTCAGTTACGTTATGCGATGTTTCACATGGTTGATTTGCTGTTTGTAGTGTAGGGGGGAGTCTTTGAACTGGAAGCTGTTGAAAGGATGATCCGGACGTCTTGGAGATTGAAGGAACATTGGAAGCTTGCTCAAGAAGTCTTGGCTTATCAGACAGTTCGTCATCACTCACTTCAGCCAGAGCTCTCTCTCTCGCTTCCGCCTTAACTATCTCTATTTCCAACTTTAGATCTTCTTCAGCATTCTTAAGAGCTTGTTTTTTCTTTAACATAGATCTTTCGACCATTAATTCGGCCAATTTAACCTTTTCTTGCTTCCTAGCAGAGAGCTTCAACGATCTTGAACTGGTCTTAGACTTAGTCTTAGATGCACGAGAATAATGCGATGCTCGAGTGCGATCAGAGGCTTTGCTGCTTAGGGACTCCAAGCGGTCAGATAAATTATGCTCGGCTTCAGTGATCTATGACGACACTTGACTTAAGTACATTACAATCTCTGTATCTTTCAATTTGTTATGTTCAATTTCTGCTTGTTTAACTTCGCCATCGACTAATTTTTTTAGATGAGATTCACACGCTTTTCTGTATTCTGAAAAACTTTCTTCCAAATGAGATAACTCAAATTTTACAAGATGTAAATTGTTACTGTCTGTCATTAGAGGTGACAATATGTTCCTTTGCCGTGTCACGACACGTAAAGTTGTTATTCGTCGCTGTCTGAGACGATCGATCTTTTCTGATCTCCCCTTTTCAGTCGCTATCCGACGCCGAGGTCCCAGTGTATCAGACTGTTCATGCCTTTGGCCTTGATTCTCATCATCGCCATTCGATCTTGTTTGTTCTACTGTAGGCGTATGATCATTCTGTTGTTGACTGTTTGTCGATTGTATACGAATATCTGTTTCCTCCGCAAATATCTCAGGCTGCGTATCTTCGTCGACCTTTGAAACCATACCGTCAATGACAACCTCATTAAATAAATGCTGATTACGAACGTTTCGTTGTATTTCGGTAAAACGATCGAGATTTTTTGTTACAATGTGAGTGCATCTACGCTGAGTTCTATCTGGCTCACAGAAAGACACCGGTAAATTCAATACAGCTAAAACTTTATTTAAACAGACGTTCTTTACTCGATCCACGGTTAGCAAATTATGGCCGTTTAACCGTTTACCATTGCTGCTCGGTATTAGGATAGGTAAAAAAAACTAAAAACATAAAATTATATACATGGTAAACTATGTGCTTAAGGCTACAAATATTATGTGAATGCACAGAGGCAGAGTAATAAATACAAGGTTACGTACATCTGTGTCCTTTTCTAGCTTGAAGCAAGTCCGTTGAACCTTTAACTTAACTTTGATCATTATAAATATTAGAATGAGATGTTCACTGTTTGACTTTGTATGATTCACTGCTGTCTGATTTGATTTATCTGCACATGTTAAACGTCTTATAATTATATGCACATGTCACCTTTCCCATAGGGAAATAGTGTTGGAAATCCCATGCTTGCCAAACCATCTGTTTTAAATTCATTAACACCATTACCTTCTCTACATGGCAGGTCCAAAGGGTCAACCTCATTTACTGCATCTTGGATAGCTGCACCATCCTTTCTTTGTCTTTGACGCATAGGAATAAATGATGTACTGCTATTTCCTAAAACTAATTTTTCAACTGTTGCATTAGCACTCATTACAGGTTCTTGCGGGGGCCCTCATTTTCAACATTAACTGAAAGTTCATTGTCATCAATAACATACCTTAGCTCTTCAGGGACACCATTCTCTGGTAAGCCTTGGATAACATCCCTGTCAATTTCAATCTCTTTGAAAAATGGATTGTTTGTTTTCAACCACAATACAGCTTCCAGCAATCTGTGTCGACGAACTGTAAAATCTTTATGTGTTTCATCAGCACCCTGTCTACGCCCAATCATAACAGGCAAGTCAGCTACTTGTGCAGGCAACCTATTTAAAAAACTTTGAATATCCTGCGGTAAGTTTAGTACATGACCTTTGTAGCCCCTTTGCCCACCATGTTTTCTGTAGACTTGCATGATAGGGCAAACCCTTGAAATCAGCATTTCCTCTACCTGTGTCAAACCTCTCAATTGCTCAGGAACAATACCTTGGTCCATGTCATTGCCAGCACTAAAATTCTTTGGGGACTTCTTGTCTCTTTTGCACTGGTAACAAAGAAAGGGATCTGCTGCCAAGTTTTGCCTTGTTGGCCAGGCCTCTTTACAAATTGCACACTGCCAATGCTCTAAATGTTCTTGATCTAAATGAAAACTGTGCATTTCATTCTGAACAAACTCCTGCTCATGCAAGGGGTTGTCAACATTTTGCCAACCACCTTCATGCAAATATTGGTCTGAACTACTCACAACATTGACATTTGTTAACTCATTGTCACACATTGTACTTTCCTGTTCATTATCTGAATGTTGTTCTGCTCTTGTGTCGTAGGATCTTCTCGTTCTTTCTCTCATATTTTCAAGTTGTTCTGCTCGTTTCTTAACACTTTAAAGCTGCCTTCTCTCTCTTGCATAAGCCCTATTTGCTTCC